TTAAAGCAATGGTGTTGCCCTTTAAGAAATAGTTATTAAAATTAAGAAATATAGAAACTTGGGACTGCTAAGTGCAGAAAGTTGGGCCTAGAAAACAAGAATCTTAGGGCATTTTACTTTTGCAACAGCAGCAGGGGGTTAAATTAGCATGGGAATGACACTGGCAGGGATGTTAAGCTAGACCCAGTAGAATTTAAGCCTACTTGAATGACCTACCTATAGTTGGTCCTTTCTTAAGGAACCACTTTTGGTTGGGATAGCAAGGAAGATGGTGAGGATTCTGTTTGCTAGATCTGAGTGTGTCTAAATGCAACCTGACTGCAGAATGCTGAGTTAAGCATGGACCTCAGTTCAGGGATTTGCCTTCAGCTTTGATCCAACAGTATTTTTTCCCCTCTGTTCTTCATTCTCCATGACATTTTATTGTCCAAAAATGCAACAACAGAACCCTTCCATGTTCTTACAGATCCTTACTTTGTGAAGTCTTTTCTAGATCTGTGCAGATTTGTGACTCACTTATTCAGTGGAACACAGTAGAAATGACCTTGTATGACTTCCTAAGGCTCAATCTGAAAAGACAATGAAAAGAAGTGAAACTCCTGCTTTGGTCTTTGAAATACTCATGGGCTCTGAAATGGACTCTTTTGTTCATGGAAGGAGCCAAAGTACTGTGTGGAGAAATCATGCAGGGAAGACCTCAGATTATAAGAAGAGGAGAGACGCCCAGTTACTCCTCACTGCTTCAAGTCCCTGTGTTCCACTGTCTCACTATAACTATCTGGGATACCCTAAGCCAGAACTACCCCATTGAGTTTTTGTAGAAGTAGTGGCTCACAAAAACCATGAGACATGATATAATTGTTTTAAGCCACTAAACTGGAGTGATTTGTTGTATAGCAATAGTAACTAAAAAAGATTTGGGTAGCTGAAAGAAGTTCCAAAATAAATCTAAGCCACATGGTACTGGCTGAAAGGTCTCATGAATCTAAAGTGTGACTATAAAGATGTTAACAGAAGCCTGGATGCTTTCAGTGAGGGCATGACAGGAAGTGGACCCTTGTTAGGTGGTGGTCGGAAGTTTGGCAATACTGAAGCTGTGGTAAGATAGGAAATACACGTAGCCAATTACTCTAGCCAAGATTTCCTGATAGAATGTGAAAAGTACCCTCTGTCCACTGCCTATAAGGACATGTGAGAGGAACAAGTAATGCCATTAAGGAGCCAAGGTGATTCTTCATTCCCATAGTTCTCTAGGTGGCAACTGATTTTCAAATTATAAAAAGGTTGCAGTACAAAAATCAACTCCAGGGTAGTATTGTAAGATCCTTTGTGAGGACCTCAGAAAGATCTAAGGCAGCAGTTTTAGAACTTTTCAGACCAAAGGCTGACTTCTAAAAGGGTGTCTTTCAGGCCCTCTCCATTAAGCAATAGGACTTCTAAGGGTATTAAGAAGAGCAATCTCATAAGAAGTGTCTTTTAATGCAGTGGATCTTTATAAGAAACTCATAAAGCTTTTAAAACAATTGTGTCATCTTTAACTGAAAGAGTAAGACACAGTACAAATGAAGACTTTGTACACCTGAACTTTTATGAGTAGGCAATCCATAGACAGAAAACTACTATATACAGACTGATTTTTTTGTTAAGAGGGAAAGACAGCTCAGGATAGCAATAAGCACAAAAGGCAGAGCCAAGAGCCATGGAGAATAATCTCCAGAGAATAGTTCTGAGCCCTAATCAGGAAAATGGAGCTCAGAATTGCTGTGGATCAGAGACAGGTGCTTTTCATTTCCTTCATCTTATGAAATATATGCCTGGCAGTTTCTCCAAGCCTATACCATTTCATGCTGTGGGAAGAGAGGGGAGCAGATAGATATCCATTTGGCTCACAGGTCCTTGTATCAAGAAGCTCAGGAGGCTGAGGCAGGAGGATTTAAGGCCAGCCTCAGCAAAAGCGAGACCAAGCAACTCAGTGAGACCTTGTCTCTAAATAAAATGCAAAATAGGGCTGGGGATGTGGTTCAGTGGTTGAGTAACCCTGAGTTCAAGCCCTGGTACCAAAATAAGAAGAAAGGAGAAGGAGTGGGGGAGAGGGGGAGGAGGAGGGGAAGGGGGACAGGAGGAGAAGGAGGAGGACGAGGAAGACAAGGAAGAGGAGAAGGAGGAGGGGAAGGAGAAGGAGGAGGAGGAGGAGAAGGAAGAGAAGGAGAATAATAATAATAATAAATAATGGGATTCAGTATGCTGTACTCAAGCCTTGACATGATAAGACCCTGGGCCTCAAGCTTGATTCTGAGTCATGATAGGAGGCTTTTGTGGTTTCTTGGGAAAACATATCTTGTATGGGAAGAAATGTGAACTGCAGCTATGAGGTAGACTATGGCAGCTTGTTTAACAAAGATGACAATATCTTTCATACTTCATGTTCTAGAATCTTTCCTCACTCCATCAAGAGATAGTCTAATTCCCTTCTGGACTATGAATAGTATATGCCTTTCTTATAACTGATATAATGCTATGGAAGTGATACTTTGTGTTCATGTTTTTCTGAAGTGAGATCAAAAGGACAGTGAAACTTCCAACTGCACCAGATACTTGTCCTGGAACTCTGAACTGCCATATAAGTAGTATGACTGCTCTGAGGCAGCCATGCTATGAGGTAGCACAACTAGCCCTTGGTAATGATTTGAGAACAGAGATCCCCACCAGCTTCCTGCTGCTTCAACCCATTTCAGCTCCAGTTACCAGCTGACTGGAGCTGCACCAGAGTCTTAATAAAATGATTGTTTCTATTTTAAGCCACTGGGTTTGGGGTTGAATTTTTGTGGAGCAATAGTAACTAAACCAGCCCAATTGCTGTCCACCCCCATAGAAACCAGTAAAATGTGATATTTCCTTTATCTTATGTGATTTGGGGTTTCTTTTGTGAAAATGTATATTTTTATTTGTATGTATACTATTCTGTGAAGCAGATCATATTCCCCCTCCACTCAGTCTTTAAAAAATACGTCCATGTTGCCATGGGTACATCAACCTATTGTTTCCAGCTCATGTGAAGTATACCGTAGGGTCATCCACCATATTTTACTTACCTGTTAGTTTAGTGATGAAGCATGAGATTGCTTTCAATACTCACACTGCAGCCACCACAGAGGTCCTGGAACATATTTCTGAGTGGCCCTTTGTGAGTGTTTCTTGGGGCAATATACTCAGGAATGGGGATGCTGGGTGAGAGGGCATATGTACACTTGTAAGTACTGCCAGCTCTTCTTCAGGATTCCTGCCAGGCAGTCTGCACAGTAGCAGCAGTGAGCTCCAGAACAACATTCTTATCTGCTGCTCCAGTTTCTACATTTTACTTATGAAAAGAACTGGCTAGTCTGCTGGAGGGAACATTTTCCATAAGTGCCCCAGATAGTGACATGGTTCCCTCCCTTTCTTCAGAAGGTCTTATTTCAAACATCACAACACCACACCGTGCAAAGAGCCACCACTGTGTCCTGTCACTTGCCTTTCTTCCCACCTTGCTGTATTTTTCTTCATAATTTTTACAATTTGATATCTGCATATGTCTGTTTTTGATGGTTGTCTCCTACACACACACAAAAGGTAGCATTGGGGTGCATAGTAGATGATCAAAACTTGTCGTGATGAAATGACCCAGAGCCTACTTAACCAGATGCCATCCAAAGGAAGCGTCCCTCCTCATCCACCTCATCCTCACTCAGTGTAGGCAAAGAGTATTGGAGGCACTGAACCTCCCTGATCTCTCTCTACAATTTGGCTCACCATGCACAGGAGGTAAGGACACTAGGACATTCTATTAACACATGCATCTATAATTTCTCTGGGTAGAATTTGAGTTCCATCCATGTTTAAGTTACCGTGGTATACTAAGTGTTTGTAGAAAGGTTTCCTTGGTCACAGTTTTCTGTTGAGTGGGTGAATGAAATCTATGCCTGGTCTCTACTATCATTTAATGATCCAAAGACAAAGGAAAAATATTTGGAAACAAGGCACTGAATAAAAAGTGCTTGTGCTATGCGTGGTGATGTGTGCCTAAAATCCCAGCAACTCAGGAATTGAGGCACTAGGATTGAAAATTCAAGTCCAGCATGGGCAATTTAGCCAAATCTTGTCTCAAAAATTTAAAAAGGGCTATAAATGTAGCTCAGCGGTAAAGCATCTCTGTATTCAATCCCCTGTAGTAGGAGAAAAAAGTGCTTGAATGAATAATATAATGCTGCAGCATCTGATATAGGAGTCACTAGCTATACCTAGCAAATTAGGCTTAAATTAATTAAAGTTTAAAATTCTAGCCATGCTGGAAGTGCTAATAGCCACATATAGCTTCTGTACAGCTACAGATACAGATGCTTCACCATCAGTGAAAGTACCATTGAGACAGCACTGTATGAAGAAATTGAACTTTAGGTAAGTTCTGAAAATGCAAAACTGCTTTTAGAATTCTTTGCTTGTTTGTTTCTGTGGTGCTGGGGATCGAATCCAGGTCCTTGATATGAGGCAAGCACTCTACCAACTGAGCTATATCCCCAGCTGGAATTCTTGAGGTAATCTCCTCTGCCTGCCTTCCTTTCTCAAGGTCCAAAGGGGCAGAGTTTTGTTCCATGATTAAAAATAAAAACTAGTGGAAGGGGGGATAGGAAGTGCAGCAGAATAAAATAGACACTAGTATTGCTGTATGTATATACGTGGCCGTAGAACCAATGTGATTCTGCAACCTGTACACTTGGAAAAATGAGAAATTATACCCCATTTGATTCAAATGTATGATATGTCAAGATCCTTGTATTGTCATGACCAACTAATAAAAAAAATACAACGAGTTTAAAAAATAAATAAGTTAAAAACTAGTGTACTTTTGATTTGGAAAGAAGAAGTCTTTCCTAGTGGCTTATCTGGGAGGACATGTCTCAGCCCACCAGATGGGCCCTCCACCTGGTCGTATAGAACATAGTAAGTTGTTAGTACAAAAGTCACACTGAGATAAAGTTTATTGTCATATAATGAGCAATTTTTCAGAATGAACAAGTCTTCTGTTTTCTTTAAACATTACATGCCACATTAATTGTCCCTTAATGAGGAGCCTGGATGAAAAGTTGGCAGGTTGGTTTTTCCCTTTTGTTGGCATTAATTCTTTAAATTCCAAAGGTGCAGGTTTAAGGGTGGATTTAGTAAGTTGTTAGCTAACAATTACAATAATGAACATCAGTTTCAAATTTAAAATTACAAAGCAGTAATTGGGGGAAATCAAATGTTATAAATTTATTTGGGACATCTATTACCACCTTTTTGAATGCCTTTGAAAACAAGCAAAAATCAATACATTTCCATCTTTTCTTTTTTACTTTCAATAAATAATATCTTTGTTTTATATGTATATATAGATAGATATACTTAGTGAGTCATTTAGCAGGATTTTAAAGTTTTATATTGCATTCATCCAAAACAGCTCTTTCCAGATTGATAGGATGCAAATGAGGTAAGAATTAAGGCAAACCCAAAAGGCATGCAAATGTAGTACATTTATATTCACCGATAATACAAGCGCTTATGTGTGGACCAGACGCAGGAGCCAAGGGCCCGTCTGTGTGTCTGTCCAGTACTATTTTACAAGAGAATAGTGACACAGTTCGTAGTTAAGTTACATTACCATGGGGGTCTCAGTGCTACTAACATTATGTAATCAAGGGGACACGAGCATTAGCAAAACAGGTACAAGAAATCATATAGCTCTTTGCAGCACATTTCTGCCCAGCCTTTGGAGGAGGATTTTTTTTTAATGAAATGATATTACACATATCACATTGTGGCAGGTTGTTTGTCTTGTTTTATAATATATGCTTTTAAAATTCATTAGCAAATGACATTCTCATGCACACAAGTGTTTCAAACACAAGAAGCAAGTCCCTTGATAGGTAGTCCAAGCAATATTTGTGTGTGTGTGTGTGTGTGTGTGTGTGTGAATAGCTGCAGACTGAATGGAACATTGAGACTTTTGTGCAGTCCATAGCATTGACATCAGCTCATTTCTGAATGTCGCACTGGAGAAGTAATACAATGGAAGGGTCGCTCTTTGCAGCTTCTTTGAATTCATCCAATGTAATTTGGTCATCCTTGTTCTTATCCATCTTGCTGAAAATCTTGTCTACTCGCTGCTCGGGCGTAAGGCCATCCTCATTCATTTTCATCATGATCACAGTGCCCACCATTTTGTAGATAGCCTTGGGAAAAGAACATTGTAGACGATATTACCAGAAAACCCAGGAGAGCAGACAGCTCTTCCTGCCTCCCCTTCACCTGACTGGATCCTACCCATCCTTCAAGGCTTAGCTTCTCCTTCCCCAGAGAAGGTTCATTTCCTGTGTGTCAAGTTCCCATGGCAACCCATATATATCACTTTCCCCAACATAATAACATCTCTCACTTTATTAGAATAGTAACTGCTTTGTCTTCCCCAGAGTGTTCATTCTGTGAAGCTGGGGGATTATGTGTTTTGTTCCCTTCGGTAACTTCAGGACTTGACTCACTGCCTGGCACACAGTAGGTCTTCAATAAATAGTGATTAAATGAAAAAAATCCATTTAAGTTGTAGGAGGTTGGCATGTGAAGATAGGAAGCAGTAGGAGGAAGGGTAAAGGCAGTGTTGGTGAGAAAGGAAGCTGGAGAGAGGGAAGCAAGAAGCAGATCACAAAGTTCTAGGTATGGAAAGGAATTTAAGTTTATTTCTTAGATGGTTTTCAATGAGAGAGTGATATAAACAAATAAATGTGAGTCTGGTGGCCAAATACCTATAGAATTCTGGATGGTTCCTGGGTTTCTGACTAGAGAAAATGGATAGAAACAGTGGCTGGGTGGTGAGATCAAGAATCATGAATTAGGAACAGATTCAGGAAAGAAAATGCTGTGTTGGATTTTAAATATTCTAAGTCTGAAGTACAGATGATAGTCACCAAACACGAGCCTTGGTGATTTAAGAACAAATAAAATGTGGGCCCAGTCAGTACGGAACTTACTATGTGTTATGACAACAGAGCCAGGTGTACCATTAAAATTGAGCTCTGAAAGAAGTTAGTTTAGGCAGATCTGTAGAGCAGGGAGTGTGTATATTGAACAGAGGGAGAAGATTCCAGTTCTCCAGGTCAATCAATTGTCCATAATTTTCATTGAGTGTTTCCTAAGTAGAAGTTGTTCTCTTTCTTAGAGAAGTGCTTTAAGAAGATGAATGCCCATCTATACAAATACCTGCATGAGAATGTTCAAAGCGATATTATTAATAATAGCCTCAAAGTGGAAACACAAATGCGCATCATCGGATAAATGGATAAACCATATGATATGCCTAATGCAATGGACTACTATTTTGGCAATGAAAAGGAATGAAATACTGACAAATGCTATAACACGAGTACACATCAAGAAGAAAGAGAAGCCGCTGCACCACTGCCAGACACAGGCTACACGCTGTATGATCCCATCTCTGTGAAATGTCCAGAAAACCATATCCACAGAGACAAAGTAGAACGGTGATTAACTGAGCTTCAGAACAGGCCTCCAGGGAGGAGAGCTCTTACTGGGGGGAATAGAGTTGGTTCAAAATGGGATTATGTTGATGTTGCATACCTCTATAAATTAACTAAAATACTGTTAAATTGCATACTTAAAATGGGTGATTTTATGTTGTATAAACTACAAACTCAATAAACCTGTTTTTAAAAATGCTAACTAGGGAGAGTAAACTACTAGCAAATGCCTTATTAACAAGTTAAATATCCATTGAGATTAGCTGTTTTGTGTTTGTGTATTTATGTAACTGGATTGTGTCGATCTATGGAGGAAAAAAATCTAAGGAATTTGTCTTTAAAAGAGGCAGACTGTTGAAGCTTCATTTTTGTGGACTCTTGGTAGACAGGAGCCAGATTAGTTTAGTCACCTGAATGGGGACCAAAGGCCAGGCAGAGACTGCTTTACACTGTGATTTTAAAGAGAGAACCAGGTTATCTGTATGTAAGCTGCTCTCCTCACTCTGTCCGTTGAAAGGTGAGAGCAAGAGTCCTTTCATGAGTCAGAGGTATGCAGAGAGTGGCCAAGACAGGGGCACTACTGATCAGGCCAGGGCAACAAGACACAGCTCCCTGGGCCTCAGCTGGCAACTCTGAAATATGGTCTCGTTGACCACAGCCAAGGTGCAGCCCTGCAGTGGACTGAATATGCTGACCCAAAAAGGACCTTCCCCATGCAGAGACCCAGGCAGGGGAGGGGCACCCCAGACTCAAAACCAAATGTCAGATGCCATCAGTGACTCTCGTACCCTCCCTCAGGTATACACTTCATGGGGTACCCTGCGTGCATCCAAATGTTTAGTATGATCTTTTTTCAAACAGGATATGTTACCACTCTGCTTCCTGAGAAGAAATAATGAAGTCTCAGTTATTTTTTCATTCACCAGACTGTGTAGACCCCTTATTTAGCTCTGGTTCCAGCACTTCAGGTCAGACATGCTGTCCCTCAGCGAGGTTGCACTGTCTGTCCTTCCCTCTTCTTTCTTCCCAATGGTCCCTCCTCCAATACCAGCACATCCTCACTGTTCTCAGGGCCCCTGCTCTTCTCTGGCTCTTGGGTCAGTAGGCTCTCAGAAAGCAGGCTGTGTCTCTTCATATCCCTCTCTCTTCCACCTCGCAGAGAAACTGGCCCTTAGAGAATGGTCAACAACAAGCCACAGGAGCCAACAGGCGGTAAGAATTCTGGGGTGAAGTAGGTCAAGAAAGCATCTTGAACAAGGCCAGAGAACCTAGACCTGGATGGATGAGGGGATTTGGGTAGGCACAGGGCCATGAAGGACATTCCAGGAAAAAGGAGTGTTCTGAGCCCAAGTACCCAGGCATGTATCATGGGTGAGGAGACAGAGGTGGTCAGACCAGTTGGCGCCAGGAGGAATGCCAACCAAGGGATCTCATTGAGATAGCTGCAGAGCTGCAGAGCTGTGCCTGGGGACACGTAGTCCTGCTCTGGAAAGGTTTTTGGTCCAATGCATGAGAAGCTATTGAAGGACAGAAATGCTATAATGCAAACGCTATTATTGTAAGTGCATTGGTCAAGGTGGCTCAGCAGAGGGGACCTGGAGACAGGAAGATATGCAATGGCTCAGGTGATAGGGCCCAAACCTGGCAGAATGGTGGTGATGAGAGGGGGGAAGGGGTGGGAGCTGGGGCATGGCCGGCTAGGTGGAAACGGCTGAGAGCTGAGATTTTTGAGGAAAATCTAGAAGGAAAATAAAACAGAAGCCTAAAGATAGTCTGCAGGAGTCACTACCATTTTCTGGGTATTTACCCAGAGGAAGGAAGCAGGCAGGTGTTTACGGGCTCAGTCATTCCTACAGACTGTTTGTTTTTCATACAAACACCAAGGCAGCCCCAGGGTCTGACTCCTAAAGCTCCCTTCTGTGATCTGAATCTCTATGTCCCAAGTTCCTGTGCTGAAATCCTCACCCCAGTTTGATGGTTTTGAGGTGGGGTCTTTGAGAAGTGACTGGGTCATGAGGGCAGTGCCTTCATGAATGGGATCAGTGCCTTTAGGAAGGAGGCACCAGACAGCCCCTACCCCCTGGGTCTTTTGAGGACACAGCCAAGTGCCTCTATGGCCCAGGAGGCAGGCCGTCACCATCCACCAGTGACATGATCACAGACACCCAGCCTCCAGTGGATGAGGAATATATTCCTGCAGTTTACTAGCCACCCAGTCTGTGGTGTCGTGTTGCAGAAGCCTGAACTCCTCTGTCAGCTGTGACCAAGCACGATGCGCTATCCCTACTGACTTGCCTTCTACTGAGCACTAGAAAACGGGACAAAAATAAAAGAAGCCGTTGTTTTCAACTGGCAGCACAGGACGCTATTCCTGAGAAGAGGGTAATGAAGGAGAGGAGCCCTGAGGCTCAGCTTCCCACCCAGGGTTCTTTCTGGACCACAGAGCAGGAAGGAGGCCCAGGCAGCACAGTATGGTGGTCTTACCTCATACCTCTCACTGAATTGAGGAGGCAGAAGCTGAGTGGGGAAGGCAGAGTTAACCAGAATTTCTGGGGCAGAAGACCAGAGAGAGATAGCTACGCAGAGAGAGCACTCCAGGAATCTGCAGAGGGGACTCTTAATCTGTGTCTACAAACCATGCTGTACATAGAGGTTGAAACTCCACAGAGAAATGGAGAACAACTTTGCACTTACACAAGACTGTGGAATGTTCTAACTCTGACCAGTCGGAGCTTTTTATATATACAGTTAGTGTCTTGTGAATGTACACAATGGTTAAATTCACTGTGGTATATTCATACATGTACATACATTCTGCTGTCTTCCCCCATCCTGCCCCTTCTCCCTCCCCCTCAGTCCCCTCCATCTAGTCCACTGATCTTTCTTCTGTTTTGATGGAATCCCCCCAATTTTCCCCTCCCCCACCACCCAGTTTTGGCCTATCTTCCACAAATCAGAAAAAAACATTGGCTCTCTGAGTCTGGCTTATTTCGCGTAACACAATAGTCTCCAGTTCCATCCATAATTTCATTATTTCTTATGGCTGAGTAACACTCTGTAACACCTTTTTGTGTGTGTGTGTGTGTGTGTGTGTGTGTGGTGCTGGGGACTGAACCCAGGGTCTTGTGCATGCAAGGCAAATATTCTACCAACTGAACTATATCCCCAGCTCCATGTTTTCTTATCTATTCATCCAGAGCAGAGAGAGCTTGTTGGGACATTCAGTAGTAAGGTCCATCTTTCTCCTCCTCAGGCAAAGCTTTAGGAAGTTTTCTATGCTTACTGTCAGCATTTCCTCCACTCTCCTGGGCTGCTCCAATTGGGATTTACCCCCCAACTCCACTTTAACTATTCTTATCTATTTTACCAATGGCCAAGTTTCCAAATTGTAAATTGTAAATTGGACATCTAGGAGCTGGCCTGGTACTGTCCCCAGGGCCCCTGCATCTGTGAGCTAGCCTGGTCTTCACTGCCAAGCCTGGAAAACATGACCAATTTCACAGGACACCTGTGACTATCATGGAGCAAGATAAAAAGGGAATCACTCTGTAATTATGTCTGAACACAGACAAAACACGAAATAGCATGCATTTCAATCCCTGCTAATATAAGTGACTGCAGCTTCTCCACCAATTATAGATTGAGTCTTGGGTAGTCTTCCTTTCTGATGTGGAATTTGCTGAGGTACCTGATCCTGGAAGCATCCCCACTCTCAGGAAGTACCCAACCTAGAGTGAACCTCTACTTCCCTGAGTCCTCCAACTCCAGATCACCTTACAAAAGTCCATATCCTGTACATACCTACACTCTTACTGAATTCCCCACGATTGCCTCAGGGCAAGGGGTAATAAACTCAACTTGTCACTGTCTCTGCAGGTGTGTTCTTTGGCTGATGGGTGCTGACAAGGGTTCAAGAAGAGTTTGGGGGAGGATGGGATTGGTCATCAATTGGATGGGTGGACAAGTAAAAGAGGAAGTAACTTAGAAAAGCCTATTGTATAGGAAGGTCATAGTGACCTTGATGAGAGCTGGGAGGAATATGGAAGAGCAACCAAAGATTAAAGAACGAGAAAGGTGGAGGGGGTGTGGTGGTGCACACCTGCAATCCCAGTGGCTTGGGAGGCTGAGGCAGGAGGATGGCAAGTTCAAAGCCTGCCTCAGCAAAACCAAAGTGCTGAGAGAGAGAAGATGGGAGGGGAGGGGAGGGGAGGGGAGAGAAGGGGAGGGGAGGGGGGATAGTAGAGGATAGGAAGGGCAGCAGAATGCAACAGACACTAGTATGGCATAATGTAAAAAAGTGGATGTGTAACCGATGTGATTCTGCAAAATGTATACGGGGTGAAGACGGGAGTTCATGATCTGCTTGAATCAAATGTCTGAAATATGATATATCAAGAGCTTTGTAATGTTTTGAACAACTAATAATAATAGTAAAAAAAACAAAAGTGCTAAGAAATTAGTGAGACCCTGTCTCTAAATAAAATACAAAATAGGCTGGGGATGTGGCTCAGTGGTTGAGTGCCCCCACCTCAATCCCCAGTACCAAAAAAGAGAGAGAGAGAGAGAGAGAGAGAGAGAGAGAGAGAGAGAGAGAGAAAGGTGAAAAAATGAAGTCACCTGTTCAGAATTCTTAGCTGTATTTTCAGAACCGGTTTGGGAGGATCTTAATTGAATGAAGTAGAGACAATAGAAAGCTAAGATACTAGTTTGCTGTGCATGTTGGAAGGGGAGGGAGCCCTGAGGATAGAAGGGAAGCAGCTACAGGGGAGGATAAGAGAGTTCAGCCCCCTAAGAGAAGGTGTGAGTGAAAGGGCCCGATCTCAGAGGCCCTTTCCGGGTGGGGAAGGCTGGGGAAAGAAAGGTCTTGACCTGAAGCAGGGAGTGGTGTAAGAGTACAGTGTGGACACTGAGGGTTTGGGATACTTGGTTTTGCGCTGCTTGTCTTAACATCATTACCAGTTCTCATCTGGGGACCCACGCCTCTTGAATTTCTGCCCTTGGGGTTGGGTGCCCTTCACCCCAGCTCCAGGATGGACTCTTGCCTACAGCAAGTAGTGCATTTCTTTCCCCAAGTTGTAGTGGCCAGGCAGGGCTGGGCCAGCACACTGAGACAGTCAGGAAAAGCCACTGGCCTACATCAGCTGCTGCAGGCATGGGGTGAGGTCCCAGGAAAGTACAGCTGTGAGCTGACCAAGTCCTTCTCCTCGGGGTGTGTGTTCTACGACATTCTCTTACGCGAGGTCATGGGGGTAGGTGACTAATGCTGTGACAGAACGCCTTCTTGGTGAGGGTCAGATTGGGCTAGGTGGGGGTGGGCACATTGGGATGGCAGTGCTAGAGGAAGGCCTTGATGGGAGAGGAGGTGTGGGCAGAGATGAGCGCAGTGAGGGAGGGGGCAGTGGGGCATGCTGGTGGAGGGAGGAAAGGAGAAGGCCCAAGTGAGATGGAGGTTAGAGGAGAAGAGCAGCATGCAGGGAGGGCAGGGAGCGTCCAGGCCAGAGCGGAGGCAGAGGAATGCTGGGTAATTGCAAATACGACTAACAAGGACCCTGGACGTTGTGGAATGGTGGGAATCTGGAGAGAGGTACTCTGGAGCCCCTGGCCGCCTCTGATGCCCACCCCAGGAAGGTGGTATAAGGAAAAGGGGACCATGTCCAACAAAGCAGGACCACCAAGGGCCCAGGAAAGTGCCTAATAACATCTTTTGTGTGCAGCAGACTTTTGTGTTTGTGGAAGACCTTGTCGTCTGTGACTGTGTGGTTAAAAGGCCAGCAGGAAGGGCCCAATACTGGTTCTGGGACTTCTCCAGACTCTGTGCTGCAGTGGGGAACACAAGCAGGGGAAGTGAAGGCCTGGTGTGTGACCAGCATGGCTCCAGGCAGGGAAGAAGAGAAGCCACCTAAGCACAGGCCCTAGGAAGCTGTTTGGGGGACCTTGCTCGGGTGCCAGCTGCCCTGGGCACAGTCCCATCTGAAGCCCACCTCGATTATCTCCAGCATTTCCACCCGGGTGATCTTGCCGTCGCCGTCCAGGTCGTACATGTTGAAGGCCCAGTTGAGCTTCTGCTCGAAGCTGCCCCTGGAGGTGATGGACAGGGCACAGATGAACTCCCGGAAGTCGATGGTGCCATCCCCGTTCTTGTCAAAGGTTCGGAAGGCATGCTGCGCGAACTTGGAGGCATCTCCATAAGGGAAGAACTGCAAAGCAGAACACACAGGTCAGAGGTCAGCAGGGGAGGGAAGTGAAGGTCTTTGGTCTTGGCCCAGAGAGAGCCAAGGGCCAGCGGATGCCCGGGGCAGGGCCTGCTCCCATTCCGGTGCTTCTGGGAGGGTGGGAGGCAGAAGGGAGGCCTTCTCTCCTCACGTCCTCAAACACAGGTTCCAACCCTTTCCTTCAGGTGAGGCTGGTGACATGTGATTTGGGGGTTGATGGTGCCGGGAATCGGTCAACAAGCACAAGGTGCTAGTGCTCCTTCTATGTGGTCCCTCTGGTCACTCTCCTCCCGGGGCAACTGAGGCAGGTAGCAGCCTGGCAGGGTGGTGCCTAAACTTCTCCCCATGGGGCTGGAGGGAGGTTGCTGGACATGGTTTCTCCCCCATCAGCTCCAGAGCCCAACCCGAACTTGCTTCCTCCCTCAGTGAGTTCTGGTTTCTGACTTCTTTTTACAGGGAATTTTCTTTTGCAGAACAGACATTTAAAACCCATTAAAAATAGAACATGACTGGGCTTATTTTCGAGAGACATAAAGAGGTTTCTTCACAGAGCCAGCAGTCATGGAGGGTGCGTGGGCGACAGAGAATGGACAGGCAGAGAAAAAGGAGGCAGAGACCCAGAGGAGATAAGACCTCAGAGAGTCAGTCTGGGCTGGCCTGGGTCTCTCTGGACAGGAACCTAGGCCATCACACACAGCAGGGGGTTCTGACCTCTAACAGGAGGACATACCTCAAAGCCAAAAGCAAAAGCAAACCATGTGCTATTCAAAGTGGAGAGGCCAGGTACATGGTTCTGCTTCTGGGCGAATAAAACCAGCAACTACAGGGGCTACAGCAATACTGAGGTGGCTCGCTGGTGTTCTTATTTCTTTCTAAGTCATGCTACTGGCTAAGGGGACCTGCTGGCCAGCTGTCTCTGTGTCCCTATGGCTGTCATCCTTTGGGGGCATGGGTACATATTTCTCCGTGAACATCTCTGCATTGTGCTCAGTGTAGCTTCACCCTCCTCCTACACCCCAAAGCACATTGGAAGGGGAACAATCCCCCAGAAATCAATATGCCTTTCCACATAAGGATTGAGCACACGAGGTCCTGAGAGGAGACAAGTATTCCAGGGGCCAGAGAGGCTTGTAGAGTTGTGTTTGGGCAGCACTTTAGAGCCACCTGTTTCAGTTCCTGTTACAGTACAGAGCATTACCCCAACCTTTAATGGCTTACGGTGATAGCAATCATTGTATTATATCAGAAAATAAAAATTTGAGGACTATTATGGTTTAGATAAGTGTTCCCCAAAAGCTAATGTGTGAGACAGTGCAAGAAGGTTAGGAGGTGAAATTGGGTTATGAGAGCTTTAACCCAATCCGTGAATTAATCCCCTGGTAAGGATTAACTGAGTGATAACTGTAGGCAGGTGGAGAGGAGGGGAGGAGGGGAGGAGGGGAGGAGGATGTGCCTTTGGGGTATATATTTTGTCCTTGTTGAGCAGAGAGCTCTCTCTGCTTCCTGGTGTGATGTCTTGGGCGGCTTCCCTCCACCACACTCTGCACCACATCCTTCCACCATGATGTTCTTATTTCCTTGCCTCGGACAGTGAGGAATGGGGTCAGCCATCTGTGGACTGAGACCTCCAAAACTGTGAGCCTTCAAGGAAACTTTTCCCCCTAAAAGTTGTTCCAGTTAAGTCTCTTTGTCACAGTTATTTAAAAAAGCTAACTAAAACAAGGACCACTTCTCTTTTCATCACACGTATCTTTCTGTGACTGCGAAAGACAGTCTTGTCCTCTGTTTCCTCATTGTCTGCGTATCTTCCTTCCATTCCTGCTATCCTTCATTGGTCATTATTCATCAAAATTCACTGAGACCTTTTCCACCTCAGGCCCTTGTCACAGGAGCTGGGGATGCAGAGACCAATACCTCAAAGTCCCTTGCTCTGGGACCACACAGTTAATGGGGGACTCAACTTAAAATGGTCATGTTATCTGCTAAAGAGCTGGAATACGGGAGTGGGCAAAGCATTCCTAAAGCTCAGAAAATGAGCAGGGGTTCAAGGAGGGGGCCCCCAGTGGGAAAAGTTTTCCTTCCTCTTTGACCAGCTCAGCACAATTCCCATGCATTTCCCAGTGGGCCTTAGGGTATGGACCTGAGGACAGGCTGGCGAATGCTGAGTTTGAAACTGAACAGTTTTGAACTTGAAAAATTCAAATTAAGCAAGTTTGCTCTTCACACACCTTGTGCGTGAGCGGCCTTCCTCCCTTTCTGGGTGGGTGCGGTTTGCTAATGTGTTCATCTGCCTTATGGTCAGGGGCCCGGGTACAGCTGGTTCCTGAGATCTGCCCTCGGGGAGCAGAGTGGGGAGAGCCGTAGGCAGATTCCGAGTCCCCCGCATGCAGTTTCCCTGACCGATGTGCAGGGACGTGGGAGCAGTGGGCATTTTTCTTCATTACTGTCGGTTCCTGGCATGGGAGGCTTCCACTTTCTTCTCATAGCATACTTTTAAGTTAAGGGATCTTTGACAGCTTTATCTAAAAATAGCTGGGTACCTTAGGTCAGTATATTAAAAATTAATTTAAACCTGGAAATCCTTCAGAGAAAAATCGATCACAAATTTTGAGCTATAAAAGTTACATGTGGCTTGCAGAAGGTCTATTTACTGACTTCAGCAGCCACATGTTTCCTTGGGCAGAACCGAGTGTGCTCAGGGGCCCTCAAATACCTAGAGGGGTCATTTCTTTGGAAAACTCATCCTATAATGTTCTGAATGCTTTGAGTTTTTCTAATCAGAAAATACTCCTTTTTTTTGATGAAATAATCTAACTCTAAATTTATCATTATGGAAAAATAAAGCCACAGTTTCTTTAATCTCTCTAGAAAGAAATCAGGGTCTTGAACCCATACTCATTTCTTTTGGAGGACAACAGGGACCTGAGAAGGACGTGTGTTTTTCACAAACTGTTGCTCAAAATTTGTTTTGTTTTGTAAATCCTATGTATTTTACTTCAACTCCTGTATTTCAATGTTGATATGGAAGTAATTTTGGGTGGCAGCAATAAGTACAAACTAATGAATAATAATAGATAAGCATGTTGAGGTTGAAAAACTGCATCTATTTATTTATGCAGAATTTATAAGGGCTCTTTATCTTTTTTAGTTCTTATAACAAAACCTGACGTTGCAAATTCCATTTGGTAGATAAGAAACAGCCTTTGAAAGATGAAGGTTCCAGGTGTCTGTGGCAGAGACAGGATTTGAATGCAGATTTGTCTGACCACCTCTGCTACACCTTGAGATTTGTCTTGATCAAGTAGCTAAGGAAACAAACCTAAATCCACATTTTAAAAAGCATTATATAACTCTTGGCTTTCTATTGCCTCTAAAGCTTGAAATTCTCTGCTGTATTTATCTTCACCTGCTGGCAGCATCCTGTAGTGCAGGGAATTTACTAAAATGCTACCAAGGGATAATTTGAATGACTCATTTAGTCTTTAACTCAGCAAATATTTATTGAGCAGCTACTATGTGTCAATAGCTACATTAGCAGATAAAAATAAAAATAGAAAGAAGATAGAGCATTAAGGATGGATAGTGGGGGAAATACATATTAATTAAACCACCACATAAATCAGTATAAAATCCCCGTATGAAACATTGTAAGCATATAGACTCACAAACAAAAGTATCTGAGATGATACAATGAGGTTGACACTTAAAAAAAAAAAACTTAGTATGTCACCCTCCCCTCCCCTACAAGCAGGTGGCTGACAGTTCATGGCTTTTCATCATAGCTTAGAATATAAGGGTCAGGAATTTTCAGGACCACATAGATCTTCCCTGTTCCACACCCCTCCCCTGAAGGACCAATGGACCAGTGGGCAGGAGAGGAGCCCTCGGCAGACAACAGGCTTCTTTGCATGATTAACCAGCTTCACTGCAAAAGCCTATAGAAGTGGGCCATCCCTGTGTCCCTTTCTGTCCAGCAGTACAAGACATGGCTATGGCGAATGTGAGTCCTGTCCTTAGCTCTACAGACCACAGTGGCCACAGAAAGGCTGTGTGATGGCTGAACAAGAAGTGGATTCAAAACACGGAGCACCTTCCTCTGCAGCCCGCCCCAGTCCTCCTCTGTACCTTCTCACACTACACATCTCTGGTAGTTGGACTCGATTCGTTTCCTCTGAGAACCACCCCCTCTCCCATGATCACGGGTGCCCTTCTGCCTCAGCCTGATGGGGAACGCGGCTCTCCCAGCAGCTCCCCAGCCTGACCTGGGGAGGGGGCCGTCTGTGCAAGCCAAGCCTTGAGCCGGACCTGTCCCTGCCCCCTGTGATGGCCGATGTGCTGGGCCAGGAGCAGCAAGGCGACTGTAGAGGACAGTCTTTCTCCAGGGCTCTGCCCTCGGCCCCTCCTGGCAGAGGCTGGGAAGCCCTCAGCCTTCAGAGGAATGGATTCTGCCCATCAGTTGGCCAGAAGTAAAGCTCACGATGAGACCAAACATTGGAGGATCCTGGGCTGCTCCGCCACCAGTCATGGAGAAGCATGTCTCAATCCCTCCTAGGACCCAGCTGCTGTTAGAACTCTGCTACCAGTCAGTTCTGAACTCTCTTCTCTAACGTCTTGATGCCTGTGAACCCACACAGCCAGGTCCCCAAGCTGGGGTCTTCTGTACCGCACCCCTGGGTATGGTTGCTCCAGCTCTGAGGTCACTTCCTTCACCTGCTGGGGTCAACAGGGCTTCCAGCTCCCCCAGATGGCCTGGGCTTGGACTCCCCCTCAGGTCCTGCCCCTGACACAGGAGTGATCATCCCCTGAGTGACTGAGGCAGGCCCCGGGCAGGTCCTTTTCACAGGCTGACTCAGCTGACTCTTCAGAAGGTCAGGACTTGGAGGAGGACCATTACCCTAAGTATCTTTCCATCCTTCCACGAAGGGGCTTGGGTGGGACCAAGCCCAGCATTGGTTTGTCAAAGCCCTGGCTCTTCCAGCCTCACT